AATTAATTGCTTTTGGAACGATGGAATGTAAGTTTGAGTGATGTTTGGTGGCTGGTTTTCAAGTGTAATTTTCAGTAATAAAGTGTAATTGTTTTCTTTATTATTATTTTAATATACAGTGGTTCCTGCTAAGTATATCATCAAATCAAGCATTTCACGTAAGATGGTTCAACCAATTACTTTCAGAATGGTGGAATATATATTTGAATAGACGATCGATTTTTTTCTTGCAGAAAGTGACGAGTATTGTATTGTATGCAATATTTGTTAGGGTGGAGGTTACACGTTTCGAGTATTGGAAGGTATATTTCTGGGTCAAGTATGATGGATTTTGTTCTTTCGTTCTTATGTACAGCTAGATTTTTGACAGTCTACGGATGACTTCCAGTTATTCCGTATTTTAAGTGTGACTGTCACCGATGAAACGTAACTTTTATTCTGTTTCTTTTTTTTTTCTCCTTTTCTTTCACTTCGTCGTTTCATTTTAACATACGTATATTTCAATCTTTATTTAATATATAGTCTATCATTAGAACAGATCGTTGTACTTCTTTACGTTCTATATTCGAAGGTATGTTACAATTAGCAATATCCGGTCTCTATACAATATGTTTAATAGGATAGAATTTGTATATTGTATGCATGCATCTTTGAATAGTTTGAATGGAACGATAAGCTTCCAGGTGTAAGCCGTGTTCAATAACATTTGTATACTAGCATTTGACCATTGAAACTAGCCTCGTCAGGATTAGATGAGGCACTCACGTTGTAACGTGTATTTGTCTCTAACTACAAATAGGAACGCATCAGAATGGACATCTTGGAATCAATGTCTCATTCGATTCTGACGAGGCAAGCTCTCTATATATACGTATACGTAGTCGTAACATTGCCGTACAAATACCGTATTACATTCACCTTATATCTAACTAAATCTAAAAAGAAAAAAAAGAATCTCGTAAACACTGCAACTCTAATCTTGTATAATTTTCATCGGAACGTAATTTCAACTTGAAACGAAACTGTCGTAACTACACGCCACACGCCAAATCTCGACGTCTGTCTCTGCTACTTGAAGAAAAAAAAAAAAAAAAAAAAAAAATACAACGTACTGTATTTACTACATATCCGGATCGATAATTCTCAGCTTTCTTCAAAATGACTGGTGAATACCTTTACACCGTTTGAATTAATATGCATAAAGCAGCGACCCAATTACCAAGTAAGAAACACGGATCAGCGTGAAATAAATGTTTTAATGATTGTGCATTCATGCTCGCCCAAGTGGCCGCGACCCTCTTCAACACGAGCTAACCTAATTTCGAATTGCCACAGTATAAATTAAGAAGTTCCGATTTGGATTGCCGAGGAACACTGACAAATTTTCCTTCAAATCGTTCCGTCTTCCTTCTTCGAACGTGTTCCGTGTCGCGTCATCCAACAGTGCTAAAACTTTCATCGAGCAAACGAACATACTCTGTTTTTCCTTTTTTGTTATTCAATTCTCGACCAAACAATCCTGCCTCTTTGTTTCTTCAGAGAAACATCTAAGCACAGAGTGTCGATCTCTCTGTACTATTTTTATCAACAAAACTATCCAATTCCATTACCGAAGGATTCTTCGAAAAGTGAAAGAAAAACGGTCTCTCTCCCTCGTTACACCTCGTAACACTTAGAATAATCGAAAATAGAAGAACTCACCAGTAGCTGTTGTAAACCCTGTTGTTGCTGTTGCTGCAAAATCATAGAACGAGAAATTAGCGTGTGATACAGAGGCGAGTAACGCGTTCGAATGAAATTGGAACAAGCAAGCAGCTCGAGTGAAACACCCACCCGGTGCCAAGATCAATGTCCAGCTGCTTGCCAAAACTAAGAAGTTAATAGAACCAATAATGTATAAAAGAAGCTCACCCCAATAATAGCGTTCAGCTCGGACATCGTGACTTGCTTCGCTCTCTCTACGGCATTGGCCACCTGCTGCTGATGCTGCAAGCCATGCTATCATTATCGCGTCGTTGTCACTCTCGATCGTGAGATTGTACGGCACACGTGCCAAACAGAAAGTCAAAGACTCACCTCTTGTGCCAGGAACGGGAGTAGCTGGACGATTATCGCGTTCAACCTCTTTGCGATCTCGGTCTGAAAAAGTTGAACAGAAGCGCAACATCAATGGATGCGTTGAAACGGTTCCCGTTTAGACGTTAAACGCGACATTTTTCCTGCCCCTTCGAAATCTTCTTCCTTTCGCTTGAAAGTGGCTAGAAGAAGACCAAGAGGTTGGAAAGTGTCCAAAATACGAAATGATAATTTTCCGTCCCGAGCGGGTCGTCATTTTAAGGTTGCGCTAGGTTACGTTACCGCTGAGAATTTTTTACATACAGAGAAAAAAGGATAACGAAGTTTTCGTGTATAACGAAAGAACAATGAAATTACAGAATTGATATCTTCTCGGAGTTCCAGAACAATTCTTTCCGGGACACGGGAAATTTTACAAAATTCACCGTTCCCCCAAAGTAGAATTCTCATTTAAACCAGAATCAGCATGTGCCATATTTTACTCCACGTTGTATCAAATTTCCACGGAATCTTTCGCTCCTAGTCTCTCCCAGCCGGAAGACAACCCCCGCCGAGCAACGAAATATTCTCGCGGCGAATTAACAAATGAAACGAGGAGAGGGAGTGCAAAAAGAGGGGTGCATCGATTTTTAATAACGCGACAAATCACTTGAATTATAACACGCGCGCCAACTGGCCGACGTGAAAAGCGACAATGCCGGAACAGCATCACGGTCTATTAACAGTCAACGTGGCTGGTGTCGTTTTCCAATGGTCTATGAGTTC